TTTTTTTGGTACCGGGGATCAAACTTAGGACCTTGTGCTTGAGAGGCAGGTGGCGGAACCACTGAGCTAAATCCCCAGTCCCATAGTACCATCTTAGTAGTAGGCCTTTGTAGAATTAGATAAATCACGGAAACGGAAGCCTTTCTATTGACTTTTTTTTAATTCATTAAGTTTATTGGTACATTTTAGATATACAGTTTGATGACATTCATCATTGGGAATTTGTACTTTTACATGATGTATGTTGGTTCTTATTTTTTTTCCCCATTCCCCTGTCCTCTCTTCAACCCCTCCACCCCCTCGCCTTTCTATTGACTTTATTTGACAACAGTATGATTGAGGAGATTGTTTCTAAATTATAGTTCTGTTTATTTTTTGCAGCACTTTGATTTTCCTTTACCAACTCCTTTGAATGTTTTTGAAATGCTGGTGATACCAGAACAAGAATACCCTATGGTCTGTGTAGCTATTAGTAAAGGCACTGAATTAAATCAAGTAGTTCAGTTTGAGACAATCAATTTGAATTCTGCATCTTCATGGTTTACAGAAATTGGTGCAGGTAAGTTTTTTAACCTTTGTTAGACTATTGATACTTTTGCATATAAAAGAACCAGAACACTTAAATTCAACGAGTATGGGCTCTTCTAAAGAACAGAATTTCCTGAGTAAGCCAAAATGCTCATGTACTTATATAGTTTGTGATCTCTCTTTGCCAGAGAAAATTTGATTCATATTATTTTACTAAGGAAAATTTTAATGATTCCTGACATTTAAAGCTCTGAATTGTTACCAGCTGTATCTTTGGACTTGCTAAATAAATAATTGCATTTTCTAGGACATTTCCAGAATTTTATTAGCTTCTGAAAGTTACCTTTTTCCTCTATCCTGTTTTAAGCTATCTTTTCCGCATCCATCACTTCTTAGAATCATAGAATATGCTTTTTTCATACTGGAATAAAGGTTTCTTAGGTTTGGCCTTCAAGCTTTTCCATTTAAGTATTCATTGTACTGTCTAAGAATGATTAATTAGCCTGGAAGATTGTCAAGCATGTCACTGTGAAGACTGAAAAAATTGGAAAGTTTATTCTCCAATATTAAAATTTGAACAAAACAATCAAAATATATTTTTAGTGAAAAATCTTCAACATCACTAGTCATCAGAGAAATGCAAATCAAAACCACAAGTTATAGTAATTGTTATCAAAAAGATAAAAAAATGACAAATACTAGCAGGATGCAGAGAAAGTAGAACTGTGGTACATTTCTGGTAGGAATTTAAGTTAGTACAGCCATTATGGAAAACAGCATGGAGATTATTTTAAACACTAGAAATAGAACTCTCATATGATCCAGCAGTCTCACTGTTGGGTTTATATCCACAGGAAATGAATCAATATGTTGAAGTGATAACCTGCATGCATGTGTTTGTTGTTGCATTGTCCACAGTATCCAAGTTTTAAAACCAACCTGAATACCTATCAGCAGATGAATGGATAAGGACAGTGTGGAGTATTTGTACAATGGACTGTCATTCAGCCACAGAAAGAATGAAATTCATATGCAGCAACAGGGCTGAAACTAGAGGTCCTTATGTTAAGTGAAATAAGTCAGGCACACAAAAACAGATGCCATGTGTTCTTGCTTACTTATAAAAGCTAAAAAGTTGATCTGACACAAGGAGAGAATCAAATTGTAGTTTCCAGAGGCTGGAAAGGGTGTGAAGGAAGAGAGATGGGGAGCTCTGACTTCAAGACTCCTATTCCAAGACCCTTTTAGTCTCAGGCTTGTTTTATTATTGAAACATCTTCAAGGATGATTCTTATATGTATTAGTTGAATGAATACAGATGAGCTGAGAAAAATTATTTTTGGTGTGTTGCCAGAGAGACATTTTACTGATTATGTAGATCTGGATCGTTCACTGTGTGTCACCTTTCTGAATTTCCATAAATACCCCAAAATACTATATAAATCTTGTGTCTAGCTGGGCGTGGTAGCACACGCTTATAATCCCAGCACTCAGGGAGGCTGAGGCAAGAGGATTGCTGTGAGTTTGAGGCCAGCCTGAACTAAATAGTGAGACCCTGCCTCAAAAATAAATAAATAAATAAATAAATAAATAAATAAATGTCTGTGAATGTGGCAGTTTTCAAAGGAAAAGATCCATCTACTCCAGAGAGATATAAAGAATGACTGGCTCTTATTTAAAATCTTGTCCTAGATTGAGCTAAAGACCATGTAAGCAGGCTTGGTGCTTAAAATAAATTGTTTTACAAAAAATGTTTACAAAAATATCATCCAATCTATTAGCAGATGTTAAGACACAGGCCTTGACTATCAGCAAAGTAGAAAGAGTTGCATTCTGCGAAGATATTGTTGAAAGCACTGTTCACTGTGCTACTCAGTGTCCTCTTTAGGAGGGAACTTCTCACCTGCAAACACACACCAATACCAAGAAAAGTTTCTGCTGATCATAGTTACATTAATCCTTGTGCTCTTTTGAATCACTGGCTTAATTTTATTCTAAGGGTGCTGTGGGTCACCTAACTGATCATGTTTTCATCTCCCATCGACTGTAAAGTGCAGAGCAAAATCTAGCCATTGTATGGCATGCATTTACTTAGTTCTCCACATTTGCTTCATTTTATTTTTGTACCTCATCTTTCTAGAACTGGCTGAAATATTAATGAAAAGTAATAATTGAGGTTTTCTCAGCTCATTTATCCATGTTGGGACCAAAATTTGTTTTCCTTAACTGATTTTTATTCACTTTTTGAAAGGTAACATACAACAAAGTATGATTTCTGTGTTATATTTCCAAGACTGAATCACAGCAAAATTCAGAGTTCATATTTATTTTCTACTCTTATTTGTTAAAGCATACTGTATAACTAACTTTCTCCCCCTCTCCAGGCAACCAACAGTTAGATTCCATTCATGTAACACAGTTGGAGAGAGATACCGTTTTAGTGTGTTTAGACAGTAAGTACTATGTTAATTTTGAATATACTACTTGATAAAATGATTCTTTTAATGTAATTAATTGCATGAAACTAGAATTCAAGATTATTTCTTTAAGTACCTGGTTTCATTGAAGAAAAAATGAAATTGGCTACCAATAATTGATCTATCAGTGCCTTTCCCTGTCACCTTTTTCTTTATATTTGGCCTGTTTGTCATATCTTGAGGTAAATTTTGTGTAAACTATTCTCTCTTATACTTAGTATAACTAATGAAAAGTAGAAGCTCACAGACACCAGAAAGTCATTGAACATTAACTTTTGGAGTTACATCAGAGAGCATTCCTAATATACTTATGGATTTGACACTTTTACCTGCCATGATCTTTTGGAACAGGGAATGTTACTGAAGGAAATGTATTATAATGTGAGTAGTTTGAGGCAAAAAAAACACAAAAACTTTAGGAGCAGATACTATTTTGATTTTGCAAATGAAGCACTCTAGTTTATAAAAAGCCACCTTATTTTTATTCAGTAAATTCTACAAGATGGAATCCCCCCAAACAGGATTATATTTGAGTCTTGGTAGTATTCACTATAACCGGTCCAAAATGTTTGTTTTTAAAGACAAGACCTACCTATAAGTGTTCAAGGTTATTTTGAAGATTGTTCTGCTGATTTTACCTATTTTTTGTGACCTAATCTCTGTATGCTGTGAAGACACTTACTGTACTTTATAGAAAAGGATCATTTAGTATTATAAATGAGTAAACTAAAATCCACATGTTTTCATTCATCATCTTCCCTTTGTTAGTAACTTGATTCTCTGAATACTGTACTAATGAGATTGGTTATCCTTAAGGAAAGTTATCCTTAAGGGAAGCTAATTGATTTTTTTTTTATCCAAACAAATAGAAAATTTGGTATTAACCAAATAATCAGATTTAATAATGCTAAACTTTTAACATTAAATCCCCAAATATCTTGTGAGCCATCGAAGGATGATAAATTGTGCTTAGTTTTCACTTTGGTAATACTGTGTAGTTTTATCACACTTTGTAAAGTTATTGATCAGCTGGGCACAGTGACAGATGCCTATAATCCTAGCGCTCTGGGAAACTGAGGTAGCAGGATCACAAGTTTGACCCTGGTTGGGCAATTTTGCAATTTAGTGAGATGCCATCTCAAAATAAAAATATTTTTTAAAGAGCTAGAGATGTAGCCCAGTGCAAAGGCCCTGGGTTCAATCCCTAGTGTGTGTGTGTGGGGGGGGGGTTGATTAAAAAGGCTCTACTAATTAATTCCTAATTAATCGAGGTAACTAGAAAGTGACATTCTTGAGATTTTTGCTATTTAAAGGGATAGAAGAACACCTAAAAATTTGTTGTCAGGGGCCGGGGATTTAGCTCAGTGGTTCCACCGCCTGCTACTCAAGCACAAGGACCCAAGTTTGATCCCTGGTACCAAAAAAAAATTTGTTGTCAGCTATGCAATATATAAGTTGATTTTACTGGACTGTAATGGGCCTATAATCTCAAATCATGGTAGTTAGACATACAGACATAACTCTTCCAATTCTGAGTGAAAGATGATGAAATTTAAAACAAGTGGACAAAAGGGAAGTTGAATTGTTTTATATGCTCCCCCACCCTAGTGTTTACTACCCTTAAGAGTACTGTTTCTTTTTTTTTTTTTTTTTTTTGATACTGGGAGATCGAACTCGGGACCTTATGCTTTCGAGGCAGGCAGCGGAACCACTGAGCTAAATCCCCAGCCCCAAGAGTACTGTTTCTTGATCCTATGTACCTTTGCAGAATAGAACTCATGTGGTAAAGTTATAATTACTGCAAATATAACGTATGTTGTATAATTTTTAAGGAAAAAAAACACTTACCACTAAATGGGCACCAAAACCGCCACTTTTAAAGAAAAAATGTTTTTTGTTTTTTAAAGATGAGAATGTCAGTGTTCATTTTATTCTGTGTGAAAAAGATAGAGAGCAGAATTGCCATTTACCAAGGAGACATTCTTCGAACATATCTTTTAAACATATTAATGATGATTTTTCATTGGGTACACTTAAGTAAATCATTAACTTTATTAACAATATCATTTGATATCCATATAAAATCCATATATCATGTCATGTTATATTTCTTTTAGGAAATTTATATTTCCAGTTTTGACTTTTGTTTTTAACTTTTTTTTAAGGATTTGTAAAAATTGTAAATCTACAAGGAAAACTAAAATCAAGTAAAAAACTGGCCTCTGAGCTAAGTTTTGATTTTCGCATCGAATCTGTAGGTAAGTCCCCTGTTTTTACTGAATTTGGAATATGTGGGGCTTTTTTGTTCATTTGTTCATGGTTGAGGTTGCCTAGACCAGTGCTGTCTCCTACAAGTTTCTGTGATAATAAAAATGTTATTTTTCTCTGCCCTTAAATACATGCTGCAAGTAAGCATTTGAAACATGATTAGTGTTATAAATTACTTTTTAATTTTTTAATTAACTTTTAGTATAAATAGCTACATGTGGCTAATTGCCACTATATTGGACAGAGCAGGTCTTGACCATATTATTTCCTGAATATTTAAAACTTGTTGTTATGTTTAAATTTTCTGTTCACTATTCCCATTGCTGCATCAAATAAATCATACTTCTCTCACTTCTTTTCAAATCATGAAGGTATTTGTGTTATACCAGTGTTAGATATGTTATAATTCTTTGCCATATAAGATTCTGATTGGTGTGTATTGATGTCTATTGCTTTTAGGTCTGTTTACATATAAGTAGCAGGTTTCTCACAGGATTTAGAAATTCATGCCATTTTGATTTTATGACAAAAATTATTATAATTTATTGTTATGTGCATCTTCCTTGATTATATGTCAGTATTTTTCCCAGCAGTGATAGAACTTGAGAAAAATATTATGGCTACAAACTTTTGAGGTACTGGGGATTGAACCCAGGACCTCACACATACTAGGCAAGTGCTCCACCACTGAGCTACATCTCTAGCTGTTTTTAAATTTTATTTATTTTAATTTTTGAGACAGGATCTCACTAAGTTGTCCAGACTGGCCTCAAACTTACAATCTGTCTGCCTGAAGTAGCTGAAATTACTGGCACATGCCACCCTACCCAACACTACAAATACTCTGAACAGTTGATGATCCATTTCAGCCAGAGATCAAAGAAAGGAGTTAAAGTTGGCAGTTTCTGTTCATTTAATAGATTTATTTTATAATTACATGTATATTCTTTTTTTAATGTTTTTCATTTTTAAATATTCTAATATGAGTATCTCCTATTAAACTGGACTTCCCTCTGTCACAAAATGTAAGTATAGCTCAGTGGTAGAATGCATGAGGCCTTGACTTAATTCCTAGCACCAAGAAAACAAAAACCAAAACAAAAATATGTTTGTGTTTTTGTATAACATCTGACAGAAAAATCATTTCCTTTTTCTTTTTTTTTTTTTTTTTTTTTTGGTACCGGAGATGGAACTCGGGTCCTTACGCTTGCGCAGCAGGCAGTGAAACCACTGAGCTAACTCCCCGGCCCCAAAGAAAAATCATTTTCTTATGACTAGGAAACTTATTTTATTAAAGCAGAAAACCTAAACTTTCTGTAGATGCTGAAATAAAAGGAATTTTGGAGTTTCTAGTTTCTTCTTTAACTTCTTTATGTATGTTTTCAAAAGAGAGCTGCCATACGGATCTGAGCCTTCTTCATTCTCATTGAGACATTGTGGCATCTCCACCTTTTCATATGTGGCAAATTATGTAGAAAATTTTACACGAGTGTTCCCTCTAGGCTCCCATCTCTTCATGCTAGTAAAAACTGGACTGATCACAAGGACTCTGTTGGACAAAAGAGTTCCTTTAAATCTTGTCTTAAGAACAGAGCCAGTAACTGGATATTTTGTCACCATTAGAGAAACACATGTGATTTGTCATTATGAGAATGAGATACTATTCCTTTTATTGAGCTTATTCCTTTTATTGAGCTGAATTATGGTCCCAGAACATTCTTCCACTGACTTTGTACTTAGAATTCTAATAAGAAATATAAGCAGGGCCAGGGATTTAGCTCAGTGGTGCTGTGCCTGCCTCACAAGTGCAAGGTCCTGAGTTCAATCACCAGTACCCCCCCCCAAAAAATATATATATATATTTATATGTATTATGTATATGTAATTTTCACTTTCCACCATTGTCTTCATTTTTGCTTATGTTTTTCTAATTCTGTTTAATTATCTTCAATACTTACATTATAATAATTGGTTAAATACTAAGAATTTTTAATAAAATTAACTCAGACCATAAATATTCAATGTGTGGTTAAATTTTGGAGTACAGGCAGATTTACTTTTTAAAATTTGTTTTGTAATAGGGAAAATATGAACATAAAAGATTTTTGCTTAATAGCTACTTAACTAATCATTTTTAATCCAAAAACCCAACTGTATTTTGGTCTTTTGTTTTTGTATGGGGGATTGAACTTAGAACCTTGTGCTTGCGAGGCAGGTGCCGTGCCATTGAGCTAAATCCCTGGCCCCTGTATATGTATTTATTACTCACCTCAGACAAAGGATACAGCCTGTGAAAGGGAAACTAATGTGCTAATATCTAGCTCATCGGAAATTAGCCTGTATTTAAATGAATGCCTGTTACATATATCTAAAAACTTGCCTAACCCTGCCTCAGTAAATTACTTGAGTTTAAACACGTCTTAGCCACAAAAATGTTGAGAATTAATGGTCTAGACAGTGGAATTTTGCCTTAAGCACTTGAATAGCCTTAGGTTATTATTTGGTAAAAACAGTTAAGGGAAATTGTTAGTGAAATACTTTTATTTTAGTTTTATTCTCCCTTATCTTTTTTAGTATGCCTTCAAGACAGTGTGCTGGCTTTCTGGAAACATGGAATGCAGGGTAAAAGCTTCAAGTCAGATGAGGTAAGTTTTTGACCTCAGATTACCTCCCTGACTCCCACTAAAAATATTAAATGTTAAAATTATTCATTTTATGCATTTTCTCTCTGAACCTACATTATCATTTTTAGTTTCTTTAATACTATGAACTGGTAGAGTAGAAGAACAAGTATTTTAATATGTTCACTTTTGTATTGTATTTTTTAAATTCTCAGTGGCCACAAGGAATTACAAAATAATATAAGTTTACACAGTTTCTTTCATCTAATTTGTAGTTTGTAACTATGGTTGCTGACCTTGCTGGGCTTTTTTAAATTTAATGAGCATAAGGCTGGAGATTTAGCTCTGTGGCACTGCACCTGCCTTGCAAGTGCAAGATCCTGAGTTTCATCCCCAGTACCAAAAAAAAAAAATTTAATGAGTATAATCTATAAATATAAACTTCTTTTTAAATATTTTAAGTTATAAATTAGTATGTAGTAGATCACAGGACTAAGGAAAATTAGCTCATTTAGGAAGTAGCAAGTACATTGAAGACCCTTGTTACATAATGCCTATTATGTTCCAGGCACTTTACAAATGTAAGCTTATTTTTTTCACTATTTATGTTGCTTTACAAATGAATGGATTTTACTTTGGCAATTTCATACAGAACATAACATATTTTGATCATTGTCACCTCCACAGCATTAACCCTCCCCTTATTTTCATATGGTGTAGAGGGTTTCAATGCATATATTTTGCTTATATCTATCCCACCCATTCCTTGGCAGGACACCCTCTCTCCTCCTCATTAATCCCTCTCTCGACTAAATATTAATTCATTTGAGGCCCAAATGAATTTGAGGCCCGTGGAATAGATATTATTTATATCCCCATTTTATAAGTATAGAGTGGTTAAGTAATGTGTTCAGTTGCATAACTAATTAAGTGGCAGAGCCTAGATTTGAAGGATGTCTAAAGATCACTTCTAGCTGAGATAATCAGGATATTTTCATGCCAAAGAAGGGGTTTGGGTTTCCACCTTGGGGAATGGATCCTGCTCTAAGAGAGACATTTTCCATTTGTGTAATTTTCTAGACTATGACCTCATCCATTTTTGGACTTACTGGGCTGGGGATTTAGCTCAGTGGTTCTGGTGCCTGCCTCGCAAGCACAAGGACCCGAGTTCGATCCCCGGTACCAAAACAAAAAAAAATTTGGACTTACCTTAGAGCTCAGAATCTTCTTCTGTTTGAATTTACCTTTTGTTTTATCCACACTCTTGATTACGTGTAAGTAAATATTTCCACCTCTTATATGTATGCAGAATTAGAATGCTTCCAGGAGAAAATGACATAAACTAACTGTCTTTGAATATTTCAGTTCATCTAGTTACTGACCTATACCACTAAATGTCACCAGGTCCCTACATTTGATAACATCTGTAGTCCTACTTAATGCTACAAGATTGTCCTTAAAGGCTATTATTACTTCATTCCTGTGGTTAGAAATCTAAAGAAAACCTGTTTTTCACCATATCAAATACAAAACCTGATTTCCTAACTATGTACATGGGTGTGTGTGTGTGTGTGTGTGTGTGTGTGTGTGTGTGTGTGTGTGTTGCTAGGAATGGAACCCAGGGCCTCCTACATGCTAGTCAAGCACTCTACCATTGAGCTACACCCTTAGCCCCCTAACCTGCCTACTTTTATTGTATCTTGCTGTTTATGTTCTCTTCCTTCAACTTGGGCCTAGCTGAAGCTTTGGCCCCTTTCACAAAATAATATTCAGACACTCCAGTCCACAATGACTAGAGCATCCCTGAATTTAAACTGTGAAAATTAGCTCCATGTAATATAACACCTAACTTGTTTTCTGATTCACATTAATTCTCCTTTCCCAGCTAAACTGCATACTCCTGTTAAAGGACTATTTTTATACTTAAATTTGATTTCCACAGTTAGGGTTCCTCCAAAAGCAGACCCATGATAAGGACTCAGGTGCAGTTAGTTTTTTGGGGAGTAGATTCCAGAACACAGTGATAGGATCAGGAATGTAAAATGAAGAGGAGCAAAAAAGTCTGTAAAAGTCAGGTGTGGTGCCTTTGATACCTGTCCATCACAGCACTCCTGAAGTCAAAGCCCAGCCTGAGCAATTAAGTGATTTAGTGAGACCCTGTCTCAAAAAAGGGCTGGGGCTGTAACTCAGTGTGAAGGCTCTGGGTTCAATCCCCAGTACCACCAAAAAAATAGTGAACAAAAAGCACATTCATAAACCAGTTCCCACTGTGGATCGCCTAGTCCAGCAGGAACACTTAGGAATGATACAGGAATTGACTCATGTGATGGTGGGGACGTTGGAGCAGTTATGCACTGGCTACTGTCCCGTCCTGGTTACGAGTTAACCCCAAACTCTCTACACTCTATCACTGTACTTGTGCGTGGCTGAGGAATAGAATGCCCTAGTGTGGGCTGATGTGTAACTGGTGCTTGGGAGTGCACACACAGCTGTACCGAAATGAATGGGATAGGCGCCAGGTGCCACCTCAGACCTCTCATTGAGAAGTAGAGAAGGTAGATCTTGGGTCCACCAGTCATATGACTTTGAGCAAGTTGCTTAACCTCTCTGATTCTTAGATTCCTCTTCAATAATAGGGGAATTACAGTACCTATTGCACATTGTTCTTCTAAGGAAAGTGCCCTGCCCATACCAGATGCTCCATGAGTGTTGATTCATTTCTACTAATAGTCAACAGAGAAACATTGAAGTTTATTTCATTTGAGGAATTGAGTCTGTCAGAAATTATTCACTGCGTTTAGTAACTGCTCTAAATAATTTTTAAATTATTATTTAATAAGACGGGAGCTAAGGTGTTACTGATAGGTATTTTCTTCCATAGGTTACCCAGGAGATTTCAGATGAAACAAGAGTTTTCCGCTTATTAGGATCAGACAGGTAATAGTTTGTTATTTTAATTATCTAAAGAGTTCAAATTGTACTCTTAATTATACTATCAGCCTATACTTGTGTTTCAGTCAATACTATTAAAGGTTTTATCAACTTAGAGAAATTTCTCCATATCTGTTTTGAGAGGGTAATATTTTAGTAGTAATCAAGTTAGTAATCTTTTTTCAGTGTGAAGATCATGGTTCCAAAGACAATTACATTCAACCAAGACAAAATGTGTAAATAGATGTTTATGTCCCAAAACCACGACAGATATTTCTGGCCCCTTTATCTCCACCATCTTTCCAGGTCTATTCCCTTCTATTAACTGTTATAAATACGTACCTCCCATTATTTGCTTTTATATCAGAAAATGCTGGCTCGGTCTCTGAGGTTTATCAAAATTAGGAACTATCTTGTATGTATTCTCTCTGTACACAAAATAAGTCTCAAAATTAGGCCATCTTAAGGGGAAAAAATGGTAGCTTTTGTTCTCCAAAGTCTACCTCTGTGACTAATAAAATACCCATTCCTTGAAATTAATATGCAAAAATGAAAAAATGGAAACAAAGTCTTTGTAAATAGGGAGGGATGGAGGGGTTGAAGGGAGGGCAGGGGAAGAGGGAAAAAATAAGAACCAAGATGGTTTATGTAAAGGCACATATCTCCAATGATCAATGTCATTATATTGTACACCTAAAATGTACCAAAAAGGGTCGTGGATTTAGCTCAGTGGTTCTGCCGCCTGCTTTGCAAGCGCAAGGACCCAAGTTCGATCCCCGGCACCAAAAATAAAAAAAAAGGATATACAAAAAAAAAAAAAATACCCATTCCTGCCTGCTTTCTCACCACAAGTTGTTTCTGCAGCGAGATTGGCTACAGTAGTATGCACTGGTTCTGAGACGTGGATGGGGCATCTCAGGTCTTGAGTTTACTGTCACTGCTTAAATATTAGATGCTTGAGGAAGCAGGGCAGGAGAATACAGCATGGCCTTAAAAGTTTTGAAAAGAATTTTAGAAGGAGAAAAAGAACTTTTGAAAAATGATGACTGCCTTAGTGAGTAGAAAAGGTAAGCCCACAAAGCATGGCAACCTGGTAACTAGTGCAGCACAAAAATGGAAAGGAGGAATGAATATGAAACCCCCTGGTGAATGCTCTGGAACTAGAATGGAAGACTGTTCCGCAGGAAGAGGTGACAGGTGAATGGCAGGTGACCAGGGGTCCTGGTGCAGACAGCACTGCAGTGACAGAACTGTGCTTGAGGGCAGTTCATGTTGGAAGCCTTTCCTCTCAGGCGCTTATTTGGCGGCACCTTCTCTTCCCTGACTGTTCCTTCCTTCTCCCTTCCTTGTCTTGTCTCACTACTCTCTACTACTATTTGCTCTTTAAAAAATATTTTAAAAGGTTATTTTAGATCATTGAGTTCATTGTCTTGTTTTGCTTATCTACCTACTTGGACATCTCCTTGATTTTGAGATATAGATATAGATATAGATATATAGAGATATAGATATATATATCTTAAACACATTTTTATTTTATGTTAATTTTAAAGGTTAAAATTTTTGTTGTTGTTTAACACAAGTATTTGTGTATAGGGAAAAAGAGGTAAGGATGTCAAAATATTAATAGTGATTAACTCTGGTCAGTTGCATTATAGGTAATTTTATTTTTCCCTTTTCTGTGCATAATACAAATATATATATTTATTTATTGCTTTCATTGTAAGATAACATGATAGGTATGGACAATCTGTACACCAGAGAAATATAAAATATGTATGCAATATTGCCTCACATCCCCCTCTAGAATTTCTTCTCTGCATGGGTAAATTATTTTTTATATTGTTCTGAAACCCTTCTTGCCAATTAAAATGTTGTGATACTGCACTTGGTTGATATTTTTCCATCAGTCCTTCAATTGATTTCTTCTCTTCCTTTGTTCCAAGAATAAAAGAGAGGAGCCTCATTTCATACTTTTTTTAACTGTTTTGTTTTTTGAAACAAAGTCTCGCTATGTTGCCCAGACTACTCTTGAAGTCCTGCCCAAGTGACCCTGCCTCTCAGCTGGGACCATAGGTGTGCACCACCACACCCACCCTTCACACTGCTTTTAAAATATTTCACTACTTTATATAGTCATTAATTCTTAACCAGTTGTATTTTTAAGCTATAAAGTACAAACTAGTTTGTATAACTATGTTCTTTTTGTAATCTTAAGAGAATGTGAACAGTGCTATTCATTTTCAGTTTGTTAATATTTGAAGCATGAAACCTGGTTTTACTGTTAAAGCTTTTTTTTTTTTTTTTTTTTTTGGTTTAATTGCAGGGTTGTCGTTTTGGAAAGTAGGCCAACAGAAAATCCTACCGCACACAGCAATCTCTACATCTTGGCTGGACATGAAAATAGTTACTGAGCAACAGAAACTGATCTCAAATGACAGGAAAATGAATATAAATCTAATGAAAGCAGAAATACTTTAAGAAATTCAATACAGACTGCACTATGATTTGCTTTAACTCTCATGGGTTATATCTCAAATGATCTGTACGTTAGGATAGAATTCAGTATTTTCTGTAGCTGGAAACAGCTAGTCTATCTCTTGCCACTGTGTGGTGGTTATATCAAGTTTGCTTAATAAAAGCTATGAGATGAATAGTCCTGTAGGAAACTCTTTTTTTAAGAAAATAATGTTTGTACTAAGGGTGCCATGATATTTTTAGATAATTCATGAGATAAATTTAGTGATCATTTGATCATTTTATACCATGTCATGTTCCTTCTTAATGAACATAATTTGATAAAGAAATTTTCAAACAAGCCTTTCTCTTTTACATTGGCCATTCTGTATGTTTTTGTAAAATAGAATATTTAATCCTTATTTATTAATCTCTTGGTGGAGTGGTGTAATGTATCTTAACTTTTAGCAAAGGAAGGTTGCAACGCAGCTTAAATTTTTTTATAATGTATAAAAATTTTGTTTACCTTTTCAGAGTAGTACTTTGGGATTAAAGGCAGTGTGTCAGGGGGATTCAACACATGCAATTTCATTTAACAGAAGTATTTTATAATACAATTTCATGCAGAATTGCCTTAAAGGGGAGTTTTATGTTTTCAACTACACATGGTTGCTAAGGGGTCATACAGAGAATATTGATGATGGTTGAAAAATATCTTTAGAAGTGGTATCTATGTCTAAGTGTGACTACCATGTGTATGTATTTTTGACAGATAGTATACTATTCCTGTGGGGGTTTTTTACATTAGGGATAATGCATAAGAAATTAATCTTCATATATATTATTATCCCTAATGTAGGGAAGAAGAATATTTAACTGCCCGTGTTATATATTTTACTTACACTGTGCCAGAGGGGAAACTGTCATGCAGTTATACATGTAATCTCGGGGTTTTCATATATGTAGGTATTCATTTTGAGTAGGTTTAAGAAAAAAACTTTTAATGAAAGTGAATTCCAGTGGCGATAATATAAATGAGTATTGTAAAAACCAGTATTCTAAAAATAAAGGACAGGGCCATTTTTTGTGCTTTTTCTTTTGCTATTATTAGATTCAAAAAGTGTTAACATTGGTACTTGTCTTAATGCATTTATTAATAACAGCATTGAGATGATACAAAACAGATTACAGTAGCAAATATAAGATTATTCTGACCAGTTACTTGAGCAGAAAAGTTTAACCATCTCATTCAGTCTTCAGCAGTTCTGTAAAATAAGTATTATTATCTCCAATTTTCAGATGAGGAAATAAGGGTTCAGCAAGTTTAAGCAACATATCTAATCCATGCAGCAAGTTAGTGTTTGACCCAGACTGTGAGTCTTCTGACTCTGTTCATTTCACCATGAAATATGCAAGCAATAAAATGTTTCACAAGTAAAACATACAGTATTTGTTCTTTTAAACTGTGTGTATGCTGTGGTATCAGTAAGCGTGTGGTTGTTCATTTGGAATATGTCAAATGGATCTTCTAGACTGAGGGATAGTGGATATTGTGTGGCAGAGGGTACACTCTCAAAATGGGGAAAATTTACATGATGGATACAAAGACCAACAACCTTTTCTGACTAAATCCTGGCTGTCATCCTAACAAGAGTGGAAGAGTCTTCTTGTGAAATCTGGCCAGTGCAAGAAAAGACTAATTAAAATTCTGACATCAGAGACATCCTGGCTAAACTGCCGGCTAGATAACACTGGAGTGAAAATCAATGTAGCTGGCCCGCTCACCACACATCCAGAGCTCGCAGTCAGTCTTTTAGTCCTGTGCTATTAAAAATGAGCCAGTAACCAAGAGTTGTAAAAGCTTTTAGAGGAAACAGACTATCAGGGTAAAGGAAATGTCAGAAAAAAAATACCTTCAGGAAGATGTTGCAATCGTGAATCAAGAACAGAATACTCTTTCTTTTTTCTTTCTTTTGAGGTACTGGGGATCAAACCCAGGGGCACTGTACACACTGAGCTACATCTTCAGCCCTTTTTTTTTCTCACTTGAGTCAGCATCTTGCTAAGTTTTCCAGGCTGTCCTTAAACTTGTAATCTTGCCTCAGTCTCCCAGATAGCTGAGCTAATAGGCATGTGCCACCACACCCAGCAAAAACAGTAAGAGCTTTTAGAAAACAAAACAAAAAAGCTCTTAGAAAGAATATGAATTATTCAATCAGAAGGTTTAGAAGTTGAGGAAATCTCAGAAAAATAAGACAAAGTGACAAATAAATGGAAATACTGAAAAATAAAAGCTAAGAAAATTAACAGTACAGGAGGCCCAACAGCCTCTCCCAGACATCCAAAACTAAAGAGCAGAGCAAACAGAAGAAATCAGTGGCATACTTCAAGGCTTTTTTCCAGTGCTGAAGAACATCAGATTCTAGTTTGAAAGAGTGCTGAAAGAAAAAGACCTATACTGAAACACATCATTGTGAAAGTTCAAGGACACAGGGCAAAGAACAAGGGCAGGATGCAACACTAGAAATAAAAATCAGGGTATCTTCAGATTTCAACAGAAGCAGTGCCTTCATACTTCTAATAGAAATTTCAGACCTAAAAGTCTGCCTTCCAGGGCCAAGGATTTAGCTCAGTGGTTCTGTCACCTGCCTCACAAGTGCAAAGACCGAAGTTCAATCCCCGTTATCAAAAAAAAAAAAAGTGTGCCTTCTGAAGGTAAGGGTAAAATGAAGAATTTCAGTCATATTAGGTCTCAAAAAAATGTATCTCATATCCTCTCAAGAAGCTCCTAGAGGATGTGCTTCTGCTGTGCAAGCACAAGGACCCGAGCTTGATGTCCGGTACCAAAAAAAAAAGGGAATAAGCTGAGTAAGATGAAGAGGTGGGGTGCAGAAAACGGCACTCAGCACAGACTAGAGATAAAGGAAATCCCCCAGTGATGGTGACAGGATATCTGAGACATTGACTGTACACCAAAGGACAGAGACTATATCAAGACACATTAGGATACCCTGGATATATGTTTTTAAATAAAATACCTGATGTATTTTATTTTAGTAACTTAATTCAACAACCAACAGAAAGAATCCTCCTAAATCAAAGCCCGAGACACATGTGGGTTAATTCATTTTAGAGATTCTAGAAAACAGGAGTGAGGTACTTGTGATACTAAGAGGGAAAGGAGAAAAGTCAACATAAGGGGTCATTCTTGAGGTCATTGCTGTGCAAACCATGGAAGTTTGATTCCAGCTCTGTTCATTCACTCTGTCCACACTACTCAGGGTGAACACCCTCCAAGAAGCTGTGTGGTAACTCCCAGGATTGCCTCCTGAAAGACAAGGGGCTCAAGCATTCAACAGACTCACCTTGTACTGCTTGAATTGCTCCCAAGGGCATTGTCTCTTGAACATGGGGCAGTTTGCATATGGGCTAAGGAGGTGCAGGTGGCAGAGTAGGCCCCGAGGCAGAAAACTGAAAGCAAGCGAGTCTGAGCTCCCATGAACAGCCCACTGCTTCTGAGCGGACATGGGTGGAGATGTTTTCCATGACCCCTTGGTTCAGCTAGTGATGAGCAGAAACAAATTTAAAATTTAAATCAAATGCCAATTACTAGCTCCAGGAAAGCCAAATGTGCAGAAAAGAAAAACCACAACCAGTGGCTGAATGGCATAATGGTGAGGACAATAAATGTAAGTGTAATAAAAATTGCAACATAATTATAGTGGATGATCACGTGTTGTGCTCCTGAGGTTCAAAGTTATCTGCCAGGGATTTAACTCAGTGGCTCCGCTGCTTGCCTTGAAAGCATAAGGTCCCGAGATCAATCCCCAGTACCAAAAAAAAAAGTTATCTGAATCTTGACACATTGATTCTAAAATTAAATAAATGCAACTGGCCAGCGATAGTCAAGGCACTCTTGAAGAAAACTCTGAGAGTCAGGCTACTAGATTTCAAGGATTACTACAATGCCATGGCAGTTAGTATAGTATGACATTGATATAAAGATAGACAAATCAGTGAAATCGAATTAAGAGTTCATAAACAGACCAATACTCAGTCATCTCATATCTAAGGTGTACTGCAGTGAAGGAAAAGAAAGTTTTTAATAAATTATAATGAAATTTTATTGAAAATGGTTGGGCATGGTGGTGCACATCTGTAATCCAACATGTGGGAGGCTGAGGCAGGAGGATTGCAGTGAGTTCAAGACCAGCCTGGGCTACATAGACCCTGTCTCAAAAAAAATTATCAAAAACAATAATGGAAAATCAAATGAATCTTGACTTGCCCCACATTATGCAAATGTAGATACTAGATGGATTGTAAATTTCAAATAAAAAACACTTTTAAAAGAAACTATCTTAATGAATTTAGTGTGCACAAAGATTTCTTAAACAAGATATTAAGCTTTTTTTAATAGATAAGAAGGTTGGTAAAATGGACTTCATTAAAATTAAGATCCTCTAAAAAGAAAGTATCCAGACTGGAAAGGAAGCATGCAACAAGGAAAAAAAAAAAAAGATCCTCTCTTTACCCAAAGATGTTTTCAAGAATGAAAATACAAGCACAGAATGGGAAAAGAATTGTGTTACATATATTCAAGAAAACTTACCCAGAAAATATAAAAATTGCAAATTGTTTTTCAAAAAGGCAGGCAACCCAAAAGCTAAATATACATATATCCCATGATACAGCAATTCCAATTGTAGATTTACACACAAAATACAGATTCACCCAGAATCATACAGGACTGTTCATAGTTGCCAAAAATTGGATACAACTCAAGCATCCATCAATGCTAGGAAGGATAAATAGCTTGTGATACAGTCATTACCACAATACTGTACAGCATTTCAAAAAGGATGATTCTTACCCACAACATGAATTTCAGTCCCCAAAAGTATAATATTCCACATAAAGACTCCAGACATTAAAAGCATGCTGTATTTCATTTACATGAATTCAAAAACAGACAGGCTATGGCGTTAGAAACTACAGTAGTGGTTATCTTTGAGAAAAAATGAGGAATAGTGATTGAAGTCATGAAGAGATGCTTTACAGTGCTGGAAATGTTCCATTCCTTCTCATTTTGTGATAGAAGTTGTATATTCATGATTTATACATTTTTCTATATGTACTTACACTTTAATAAAAATATATATTAAAAAGAATCTGTGGGGCTGGGGGTTTAACTCAGTGGCGCTACCTCCTGCCTTTCAAGCCCAAGGTCCCAAGTTTGATCCCCGGTACCAAAAAAAGAATCTGTGCCAAGGCTGCACTTGTGGGAATAATTTTGACAATTTTATGATTTAAATAGGGGGGTTCCTGTTTCTTAAAGAGCTTAGTCATTACCACACTCATCACCTTGTTTAGAGATTGGGTTCTGCAGAAGCAGACATCAAAATGGAATTAGAAATGTGAGCGATTTATTTGGGGAAAACACCTTGTATGAAAAGTGAAAGGGATGGTGAACAGGAGTAAGTGGGAAGACTTGAGATCTGACGCCTGTGAAATGCGGCAAAGAGGAAGAGGATTTGATAGGAAAGTCCAGTGGGGGCGCTTCGGAGCAAAGACTGCTAATTTGAGGATTCCTGTGGTGGAGAAGAATGGCTCTGCTTTTGCGTCCACGCAGAACTGAAGTCGCTAGCTGGGATCAGCCTAGGAGAGCTTGGCCCGTGTTGAGGTGCGTTCTGAAGGTTAACTCATTTTCCACGGCATGTTCCTGAAGGGAGATCGAATTGGCACCATCCATAGCCATCACACACATTAAGTTAATTGGAAAGTTGAGATCCATCCCAGGTCTATTTGTCTAAATCCAAATAGTCCCTTTATGATTATTTAAACAGAGACCTATCAAGTACACATCAAATACCAAAGAAAGCCTTTAAACTAGTCCGTATCGCTAAGGGAAACGGTATTTGGAAACAAAGGTGGGAATGAAGGCAGAGTAAGTTGTATCAGAAATAATTGAAAACCAAGCTATTGTATTAGGGTTCTTGGGCTGATTTTTGTTGTAATTGATAAAGCTGAAAGAACTATCTCAGAAAAGATCTATTCCTTTAGGACCTCAGAATCCCCTCCAAGATGTCTGCACCATACTTTTGTGCAAAATTTAGATTCCTAGGACAGAGAATGCTTGCCTGGCCTTGGTTATCCCTTGGCCACGGGGAGGGTGAGGCATCCTGAAGGATGTCCTACCGAAACAGATACCCATAGCAGGAGGGAATGGATGCTGGGCTTTTAATAGATAGAAGTGGACACTAGGGTGATAGAAGCAACAGATGTGCATTACAGCTATAAACCACCATTTGGTGAAGCTTTGAAAAACAGAACTACTCACCACATGTGAGTGACATAGTTTATTTAATCATTATGATAGCCACTAGCCACGCATTTCTTCCTGCAGTAATTTTATAAATAGAAGATTTAGCACAGTTTAAAC